AGGATTCTGGAAACAAATAAGTAGCAGAGTTGGGGCTCACATTTTGACCATTACGTCCCCTGTTGGAATGCTTCATCTCTCAGATCACAGTGGTCTGTGCTGGTGGATGCAGTCTTATATGCAGTGCACAGGGCTGGGAAGCAGGAGATTTATGTTTCCTTAACAAGTTCAGAGATTTGGGGAATCTTTTGCAACAAGTGATTTAGAACCTTAATCATTCTCTCCCCTGCCATAGTGTCTGGGGAGCACAAACCTCTTCATGGCGGGTGGCTGTGAGTGAGGGGGTCAGAGCTGCTGCGGACGGCACCGGGCTTGGAGGGGGCCATGGCCCCCCAAACCACCCCAGCACCACTGCCGCTAACCTCTCAGTGTCTGTGGCCACTTTCTCTGCCCCACAGAACAGTACCCCTGCTGGGAAGAGGCTCGTGCTCCAGGATGCCACGAGAGGGACTGCAGCCCCCGTCATGGTTGCTCCCCCCTCACTGCTCCAGCAGTAAGGCCGGGGCATGGCCAGAAGCTGCCTGGCAGGGCCCCCTTAGGTGAGGTGGGGTTATTTCTCCCCCCGGCATTTCATGGAGGGGGCAGGAGGGGGCTTATCCCGCCACTCGCTCCGCACAGGGAGTGACTGGTGACGGCGGTGGTCGGACCCCAGCTGCGGTCCGCTGGGGGCAGAAGTGGGAATAACTGCACTCCTTGCCCTCTCTGTGTCAGGGCGCCATGCCGGCCGGCATGTGGCTGCGTTCCCCAGTGTGCGCAGTAGACTGTAGCTCTGATCCATGCTGGTAAGACAGGGAGGGGGGAATTAAACCCCTCCCTGGCCAGTTCACTCCAGGCTAGTGCTGGGGCCTGGCCATGCTCCCCCAGCACAGCTGCCCTGCAGCTGGGGGCACCCTCCGGCACTCCTGGCTCTTGGTTTGAGTGGCTGCAGGCATGAGCCTGCATTTCCTTAGTCCAGAGGGAATGTCTGTTCACTTGCAAATTGGTTCAATCTAGGCAGGTTAGACTAACCTGCAAATATTGAATCAATTCAGGCTCCGGCTTTTTGAATGTCTGTCCCTAGCTCAGAGGAAGTTTCAAGCTTCACTACAGTCTCAGAAACCCTGAGCTGGATGGTAGGTCAGCCTTCATTTCTTTTCAGCCCTGAGACAGCCAGTTCATTATTTTTATTTTTCAACAGACATATCTCAAATGCAGAATGTCTCTATATCTAAAAGCAATTTTACCAAGGCTTTCAAATAGACATTAGATAGCAAGGAACATTTGATGGCCACGGCCTACCTGCTGGACTTGTGTGGAAATCAAACCACTTACAGATGTAAAATAAAGCCATTTTTTTCAGCTGCAGGAGCAAAGGAACAATGGCAATAGGAGGTGGCTAAACAGAGGTTTTAGAAAATGCATTTAAAATATATTGCTCCACCACTGGGACCTTGTATGCTGGTTTTAGGCTGGTTTTACAGATGGCTTTCTAAAAGCTGGCAATAGGAATTTGAAGCAGAAATGCTGACAGACCTTTATGTGTAGCAACATGAATGGGTGTGACTTTATTAAAGCTCTATCTGCTCTTGGCTTGACACTACTTTAACAACAACCTGTTCAATCCATCTCTCTCCCTCTCTTTATCTGAGCATTTCTATCACACTCATCAAAGTGTAACAGCTTCCCATGCCACTGTGGATGGGGAGACTTGTTCCTGCTCAGGCTACAGGGTATACTGCCATTAGAGGTCCATGCTACATGTTTATAGTCTAATGCAGCCATCTGAGAGGCAAATGTATTACCAGCATACTGTGAACAGGGGCAAAAGTTGATTGAAAGCTTCATTTATTTACTAAGAAAAAAAGCAGTAGTACTGAACCAAATTGTTCTACAAAACAGTCGTGTCAGTGGCAATCTTTGGTGACTGGAAATTCTCATCTGTTGATGATAAAAATTCCTTCCCCAAAGCATTTTACTTAGTCCAAAGCTTACTTAAATGTCAATGACTATATTTTTCCTGCTCTTCATTTCTGCGGTATCATGATGTGCTAATATTTAAAGCCATCAATGATTACGTAGTTGAAGAACAGTTTAAAATAGCCAAGCAGAGCCTGTTGGGTTGGCTGCATTTTCATTTTGTTGCATTGTGGGCAGTATCCTCTCTCAAACATATGTGCATTCGGAGGACAATGCTCTCCTATGAATGTGACTGTTCTTCATTCATCCTGCCTCTCTCTGTGAGGGCTGAATATTTGAAAAGGCAGTTGCCATACATGGAGGGGAAAAAAAGATTGTGTATGGTAGTGGGGAATTTCTTGGAAACTCAAATAGCAATCCAATAGAAGAGGGGTTGTCAACCGGGGGTATGTGTACCCCTGGGGGTATTTCGAAAGGTCCCGCCACTCACCACCCTGTCCTCCCTCCTGTGTCCGGCTTTTCGCCACCCCCTCACTCCATGTCCATTGGTTTGCCACGTACCCCCTGCTGGGGGTACACTTATTAAAAAAGGTTGAAAACCCCTGCAATAAAACATTTGAATGTGTTTCAAGTTTGAATTGTATTCATTTTTCTCCTAGTTAGAAAGAACCAGAGTTTGGTTGCATGCTGTCTCCTCTAAGATCCCTCTTGGCACCCTTCACTTCTGTTCTGCAATACCAGTCACTTTTCCCAACACTTGGCCTTCTCTCTTGGCATGGTGGTTTTGTGAAGTTGATAAACATCTGCCTGGAAACTAGGCAGCCACTGCTGAACTCATTTTCAAGTGTGAACATGGGTGTAGAAAGCAATTCAAGTTTAACAAGGCATGATACATCAGGGCATGATATAATACCACTGTGTGTGACTGTGTCAGAAATGAACCCAAACGTTAGAGAGTCTATAGCTCTGCTAAGTCAATACATTCCTACATCTATTTGTGTGTGACCTATCTACAATGTGATCTTCAGTCTCCAGAGGTGAAAGCCCAGCATATTAACCTACGATGCTCTCTGATCACTGTGCTATATTGCAACACCTGATCAATTTGTAATGGGACTTAAAATCTCAACTTTTGTGATAGTGTAATTGCCATCTCCTGGGGAATAAAACCGTATCATCCCAGCCTCTCCCACTAGCCCTCCTGATCATACATGTATAAAAATAGAAAAGCTCATATCTATTGAAGAGAAGCAGATGAATGCACGGATATTCAGTTACTCACCGATAGGTACATGCTGAAGAGCCAAAACATTTTATAGGACTCAAAACATTTGCTTTGCTATTTTATAATCCATTCTGAGTACTCCAATAATTACCTAGCATCACTCCCCTCATCCTCAATGGTGCTGACACAATTGAATGCCCTTGCCACTGGAAATGTAAGTGGTTTGGCTTGGCTCAGCTCATATTTACTGTTTGATACAATGCGATTTGCAAAATTAACTCGGTATCCTACACTTTTTGGCTTTGCACGTTAAATCTTATGCACACTCTAGAAGTTTACTTTTTGGGTACTAAGGTTTTTAAAAGCAATACAAGCCTGCTGCTTGCTCATGGATGGACTGCTGCCTCCCTGTCCGTGAAGCCTATAGCACCAGGGTCTTTGCCTGTACAATTTCAGGCACGTGTGCTGCTTGTCCCATGCTCATGAATGGAATACGTGGCCTCTTATTCACAGGCAGAGTATGTTTGCAGTGGGCATTTTTTATTTCTTATTTACACAGACATGATATGGTCAATGCTTTCCACCATGAGAGCCGCCTTGCTGGCCCTCAGATCCCCACCTCTTCTGCTGGACTCAATAGGCAGTTGACAAATTGCTGCATATAACCATCTTGAAACTGCAAGCTGCTGCTCATAATTTTATAGACTCCAGAGTTTAAGGCAACTGAATACTTCTGAAATTGGACCCTCCCCCCCCGAATTTGTTTACATTTTCTGTGATTTGAAATTGTAATAAAATGCATAAACTGTGATTCCTAGGTACTTTTTTTTACATATTTAGAAGAAAAAGAAAATAGCCAGAAACAAGTCATTTTTGGTTTCTTCAAAATAATATGTTTCTTTACAACCCCACTTTTTTTTTTTTACTTGATTTTTAAGCTCTGTGCCTTTAAAGTGTGTCAGTTGGAGCATGGCATCTTTCCCCTAAGGCAGATGGGCTTGCCATGATCCTCTTCCCAACGCAGCTCCATATGGCAATAAGCTGGTGGGAAGGATTGTGCTCAGAGAGTAATGTCACATCCATACACCAATGACTTAATAGGCAGCATGGGTCATCAATATGTCTGCTTCTCTTTTTAATATATTTTCAAGAGCCTTTCTCAGATACAAAATGCTGCCTGTTGCATAGCTAAAAGGGGATAATCAGCTGTCGAAGTCTGCACTGCACTTTTCTTCCAACACACTGAAATAATAACCTGGTACGTGCTCCAGACTGTGCCTTTCACATGGCTGAGCGATGCGCTCCTGCTGTACCTCTGGTTTGACCTAGGGACGTGAGCTATGAAAGCTCCCTTTGCAAGCTCTGTCTGCACAAAACTCTAGCGGTTAACCCCTTTGTGACTCTATTCCTGAGTCACAACAGAGCTTTCTTGTTTTATGTGTGGTTGAGAGGAAATTTGGGAATAGAGGGTTTATTACTCTAGGATGGGCCAGTTCACATGACCCTAGATGTCTTCAACCTATCACTTAAATGGTTGATTTTTTTCCCCCTCTGGTACAAAGGAGAAGGAGAGGGAAGCAAAATCTTTGATTGCATGATAGGGAGAATGGGCATTGTTTTCTCAGGGTGCAATGGTACCTTTCCATCTGACAAACAGTGTGATAACACAAGTTAATATGTTGGCACCAAGACCTTTCTGACATTAAAAATAAAAGCTGATAATTTCAGTCACTGTGAAAAGTTCATGTGGGTAACGTCATCACGTGGGGCATATTACAGCATAACCTCTAGCTGCAGACAGTGGCTACATCTACCCTGCCTGTGACATATAGCTCCAATTAGCACTTAAGGAAAGAGACTTTATAGACTGCACACTCACCTCTGCTCAGCCCGTCAGGTCCCCGAAGAATTCGGCATTCTTCTATCTGGCCAAATGGAGAAAACATCACCCTGATATCATTCTCATTACACTTCTTCGAAACCATTCCTATGAACAATTTTCTGTCTTCCACAGCTAGAAGATAAAAATAATGAATGAGCAAAGGCCATTTCATCTTTTTTCCTGTGATCAATGCTTCATTACCACATCAAACCAGGCTCCAGTCATGTGAGTCTGGCTCTGTCACTGAAGACGAGTCCTAAGGCAAACGCATTATACTTACAACCGCCCCCCACCCCTCAAATCTTTCTCCTCTTTATCCTTCTCCTTTTTTTGGTGGTGATTGTTTATCTAACGTACTAATTCGATGACTAAAGTCATTCTGCATCCCTTATCCCATCATAATAGTTAAGAGGCAGCACCCTGTGTCAGACAGCAGACATTTTTGCATAAATCCTCACCACAGGTAATAGTCCACGCCTTCCTTATATATTGAAATATATCTCTATCTATAGCTATCTATATCAATATATGTATATCAATATATATATATATATATCTATATATCTATATATAGATAAATATATCTATATCTATATATAGCTACAGATATATAATAAAATGAATTAATGAAAAATACTCTACAGAAATGTGCTGATACAGAAAGGCTCCTAGCTTTCAATTTTAACCTGCTTAACCACAACACTCAAGAGAGGCAGGGTTGTAGTAACTGCTCTGGAAAGAATAATGCATCATATTCTCTCCTCTCTACTCATAATTATACAGTAGTCTCTTCTCCAAGGGGACATAAGGCACGTTTCAGGGCAGCACTTTAACAAGACGAGTGCATATTACTTTCTAAGAGCCAAACCCTTTTGAGTGGAAATTATGTTGAGTTTGCGAGAAATACAAAAGGCAGTTTGCTTGAGCGATCCGTAAATTATTTCCTTTCTCTATTGTCACCGTAGCCCAAGTAAACTAGGTCACTAGCAGAATATATGTACCGGCTCTGCAGCTTAACCAAACTTTAGACCGAGGGTTCAAACCTTGAAGACGGCCATAAAAAAAATGAAATAGTTCATAACAGCACAACTCAGACCTGGAAGCATTACAAAAAAAGTGAACTCATTATCTCATCTATATTAAAAAAAAAAAAAAAATCTAAGGGCTTATTATATGCTATATACACTTCTCCTTTCTTCTCGTTTTGAAATGGCATGCAAATCCTATTCATTGTTAATGAGCAGGCTGTCAGAGTTTGTGGGGAAGCAAAGATAGAGGGGAAGCTTTACTCCAGAGAATCTGTGGTGCACTTATTTATTTCTATTATTGTGCAAATTATTTTTGTAATGAAGTATTTTCATTTTGTGCTTGCAAAATACGAATCTTCCTTTGCTCCCCAACCCACCTCCCTTGTATTAGCATGCATTTGCCAAACAGAATACACTGCAGCTGAGAAAGTAGAAATCCATCTATTTTATTAGTATTATTTTACTAGTTTTATGCATTGATACTTTTAGGGCATTTAACATAATTTCAACAGTAAAAACCAGAGGCTAATTTTTATTGATCACCACAGGGGTGTTTGGAGTATTTTTCTTTAAATATCTATTCCTAGTTGGGAAAACAAAAAGAAGACATTCTGCTTTTCATAGCGGGAGAGCAAATACGTTTCCCAGAAAAGATCATGGAAATGTGGTGGAAAATAAACCACATTTATTTGTAGTGAGGGTCCCTCACTCTGCCTGGCATAGATAGCCCTGCCTGCTGATTTCTAGGATCTAGACTCTCATTCCCAAGACTTCCAGGAGACCGGTGTGACTTTAGCATTCAGGAAAGTGTCCTGTTCAGAACTTCCATTCCCACTTTCTATCAGGCTTACATTTAGAGAGAGTTCATGAAGCGTTAACAAATGCTGAATAAATACTGTGAGCCTGTTACAGCTATGAGCTATAGATGGGTTGACCGCAGCAGAAGACGATGGGGCTGTAAATAACCTGGAGATTATTTGGGCTCTCTAACCATTTTTTAACCTGGTAGCAATAGCATCTTTTCTCTCTCCTGTTTCTTTATAGGCTTTGCTATTATGGGCATCCATTTGACCAACGGAGAAATGGAGATACAGAAAAGCTGCCGTCTTGCCCGCGACTGTTTGGTGAGTCAGGTGCAGGGCCAGGATGCGAACTCAAGACTTTCCAACTCCCAGCCCCCTTCCGCATCCAAAAACCAACAGTGACTCAAGTCTGTTTAGCAACCGTGCGGTGACAGGGAGTCACATTTGGACAAAGTCCTGCTTCGACAAAGACTCTGTCAAAAGCGACTGTAAGAGGGGAGGTCAGAAACAAGATAAATAAGGGCTCTTTCATGGACACCGAGGTCCTCCTCCCTCCTTTACCATAACAGAAAAGCAAAAGCTGCTATTCTGGCAACCAGCCCTTTTAACTTCTTTGCCCCCAAAGTAAAAAGCTAAGACTTTGTTTTCATTTTCTGAATGCTAGCAGATGACAAACTCCCTACTGGCCTCCCACAGTTGCACAAGTAAACCTACAAATATGCCATTTAACTAAAATGATTTGCAGGTTTTCAGCTGGAGGGTGATTTTATAGTAAATTAAGCATCCGGCTTCTGTGTACGGTACATCTTAAAAATGCAGATTTCGACAAAAAATATGCTCAGAGTACAAAAAAACCCTCATATTGACATGATGACGTGCCCTGCATCCAATGCTGTTTCCAACCAGTGAAGAAAATGGCAATATTATATTGGCTGATGGCCTAACGTCATGAATATTTAAAGAGGCAATGTCAATATTAAAATTGCATAGGCTCCTTACCTCTGTTCTAACCAGCGATATCATTAAAAAGAGCACACTTGAAACAATGCACACTTTGGTGCAGAGAAAAGCAGGAGCTCTGCTTCTCTGCATGAGAGCAGGAGCCAGAAACATTGGAGCTCCTTCTCCGGGTTTAACACTGCTTCCATGTTTTTTGCCAGGTAATTTAACTGTTCCACTGCAGTTATTCCATGCTAAAAAGAGCACTTACCTTTCTCACAGAAATATTATAAAAAACACCTAGTGAAAGGACGGAGGTTTATGGTTCAAATGCAGGCAAACGGATTTGAGAGGTTCTTGTGAGAAAGTGTAGGCAAGCTCGGGAACTTGGCCGGAGAGGTCTGCCGTTTCCGCCTTTGGCTGCTGGATGCTGCTGTGCTGGGCGTGCTGCAAGCTGCTGTAGCAGCTGTGCGCGGTACCTCATGCCTTATGTGCTCTGGGTTGAGTGGTCCCAAAGCAGGCTTATGCAGCTGGGCAAAGTTTCTCTTCATCTGATCTTAGCAGCAGCTGCCTCACCTCACTGCTGCAACCCAAAGCAGCAGAGGCAGCGGAGGCCCAGGGCCAGCCCTCATGCTTGCACCGTTCACAAGCATGCACGTGTTCATTTTCCATCCTTTAATGGTCCCCCAGTCATTGAGAGAAGCGGTTCAAAAATCCAGAAGAGTGACCATAATCATACAGTTTCTCCTCCAGAATCAGCTTTTGGACCCTGGCCATGCTACAGCCTGCTGCTTTGCATCTGCTTACAATAGTCACACTGGTGCAATCGGACATAGTAGTCCTGTTAAGTGGGCTATAGAGCTGCTTTGCATTGCTGGAGCAGGACAAAGCTACTGAACCTGGCCCGGTCAGCATGTGTAGGACTCACGCGTGGAGCTCCAGCTTCATGGGAGAAGCCCTGTAACCATGGAGTCCCACAGAGGTTGGAGAAGGGACCCACCTGTGCAGATCCTGATGCAAAATAAGGTGCTCTGTTTGCTCAACGGTGAAATGTAACACAGTTTTCACCTCTTTGTTTCCAGTCCATTTTCATATATTACCACAAAGTGATAGCCTTTGGAGTCAAACCATGACAAAACTCATGTTTAAATTAAAGAAGTGAGGGAGGAGGCAGGCTTAAAATAGTGAAAAAAAAAATCTCTTCTGATTTGTTTTCTCACGCTTATTTTTTTGAAGACAAAACATTGATGGGAGTGGGGCGGGTGCTCCTTTAAAAGCGACTGGAGTCCTCTTTCGGGAGTTTTAGAAGACCATCTTTTACAGAAGAAGCTGCCCTCTTCATTTGAGCCAATCCAGAAATGGTTAATTAAGTATAATTATATTTTCTATTCTGAAGGGGAGGCAGGGGGAGCAGAATTTTTATCCCTATTTGTAAACCTGCAAAAAACCCTAGTGTACAATCTGTCAAAGTCACACCTGGATCCAGAGCTGCCTGAATTAATTAACAACTTTTCTATGTGTTAGTGCTAGCATATGGCATTTAATTACTGCCTCCAAATCTGCAAGTCTCTCCACTTAGAATTTCAAAACCATTTCTTCAAGTTTTCAGTGACTCCGAGACTAAATACAGGATAATGCCGTACAATTTCCTTTATTCTTTAAAAGAGAATTTCATTGGCTTCTCCATACACAAATAGGATCTATGCCCTAAACCAATAGTGTTCAACCCCTGACTCACAGGCCTGAATTGGTCCCGGTGCTGTGCCTTTCGTCCTATGGGGCTCCCTTTGGGTCCATGGGGAGCCTGAGCCCCATAGATGTGGCCCTGTATGCTAGATCGGGTGCACAGGGCCCAATTCCAGCATGTGGGCTGGGTGGAAGTGGTGTGGGACCCAAGGGCCTGATCCTGGCAATTAGGGCCCAACTGAGGCCACGTGGGCCCAATCCTGGTGTGTGAGGTCTGATCCGGCCTGCAGATCAGTCCCACACCGCACACCAGGCCCACAGGGCCAATACATTGAGCACCCCAGCTCTAAACTCCCATTTGTTTTTATGGGAAGTATATGCAGCCTGATCCAGCAAGACACCTAAATATTTGCTTAACTTAAGCACTTTACTGTTCCCACTGACCTCTTAAAGTAAAGTACATGTTTAAATATTTTTCTACATTAGAGCCAGGAAGTACAAATTTTCTGGAATAAGACCAACATTTATATGAGCGAGAGTGATTCACTATTGGAAGAAACTACCAATAGAAGTAATGGATTCTATACCTCTTACAGCCTTCAAATTCAGGCTTCTTCTGTTTCTAAAGATCAGGTTAAACATAAAAGTTATTGGGCTCAACATAGCAGTAAGCAGG